TTGTTTTTACAGGAATCTAGGTTATGTAATCTTCCAAATCCCAAAGTTTCAGTAAGCAGACCTCGGTCAAATAATATAGACTTGAATTCCATTTTGAGGATTGTGAAATGAGGAAAAATACCAGAAACTGCTTCTTTTGAGATTTACAGGATTTGCTGCACTAGATGTTATGACTTTTTTTCATCCAGATTCTAAATACATTATAGATTGCTATTTGTTCTAATCTTTTGCCAAAACTCAGGATGTATAATTCTGATGCTATGTTAAGTTCGTTCTACATATTAATATGTGATGTTTATTAATATGCATTGTAGATCTCTGACTCAATTTTCAGATTAACATGCACTTAATTCTTGTCAACTACTCTGCAGGACAACGAGTTATTGCTTAAATGTGGCTGCTGAGCAAGAGAAAACTGTCATGGAGAAATGGTTGCCCGAACTTAAATCTGCAATTTTGAGTGCTCAGAAGTGCTTGGAAGATTGCAACTATGTTAGGGGGTTGGTGAGTGACCACCGTAAACTGAATCATCTGCCATTACATTGCCTGTTTACCTGCATGCATGTGACCGTGCACACATCCTACTGGAATTAATTTATCTTCTTTCACGAGTCCCAAATTTGGGGTAAATAACGGAAATGGAGCTTAAGTGGAGTTAGTCTGCATTTGTGTAGTTGTATAGAGAGTATCTTTCTACCATATGAGTATAAGTTTATTTTGCCCTCTTTAATTGTCAACCGCAATATGTTTTTGCAGCTTGACGAATGGTGGGAGCAACCAGCAGCAACTGTTGTTGACTGGGTCCTAGTCGATGGATTAAATGTTGCTGCTTGGCATAATCATGTGAAGCAGCTCCTTGCATTTTATGATCAGGAGCACTTGTGAATATAATTTGAGTACTCAGCAAGCAAGATTTTCTCAGGATCTTCCTGGTCTTCCCAGATCAAATTTGCCACTTCAATGACCGTACAAAATACTCACACAACCAACCTGCATCCCTGCCTGAGGCAATACGTGTACGGGGTACAGTTAGCAAGTGGAGTCATATACTTCGGATGTCATATCACTTCTACATTTCGATTTGAGAGAAAAGCGGAGGAGGGTAGCCGGCGGGAGGAACAGGTCCTGATCTTAGTCGATTTGAAGTTTGTTATACCGGCAGACCAGATTTTTTTGTCTCTTTTTTTTTTCCTGATTAAGTTTTGTATAGAAAGACAAGGATGTGTTGTATCATAAACTTTATAGCTTGGTTTTTCTTTTCTTTTTTTTTGGGGAGAGGAGAGTGATTTAAATTGTAGAGGTTAAATTTGCAGTATGAAATTGAATGTATGACTTGGTCCTCTATTGAATGAAGGGGCAGGCTTCCGCTTGGCATAATATCACTTCAGTCAAATTGTCTTCCTGTTTCAGAAATTGACAACTCCATATGATGAAACATCACATGTAGATGTTACATTATTGTACGGATGAAAATTGCTGCCATACACTGTATGTTGGAATGCCAAATTCAATGCGGTCGTTTTTCAAGCACGAATACAATGATCGTGAAAGGGGTGAGCGAGCTAGAGAGATGGCTGTATCTCTTTGATGAATGTTATATCGAGGTTTGGTTTAAAGAAACATATTCTATACTTTCATCTACTTGATTACTACTTCGATGCACTTAAAGCTACGGGTACTGTGTCTAATATTTTTCAGGTGATTTGTTATCAGCACTCTGAAATAGCTCGTCATGCACTTCTCGTCGTTATTATGAATAATATTTTTCAGGTGATTTGTTATCAACACTGAAATAGCCCGTCATGCACTTCTCGTCGTTATTATAAATAGTCCATGATAATTATAATAAAAAGTGTTAATAACAGCTCTCGTTTTTTGTTCGTGGTAGGTCGAATCAAGCGGTATAGAATGAGAAAATGCCATGTCAAAGTGTGACATATTGGTGATGGTTCCAATAATAATAGACCACCCAGTGCACGGATAAGTAAAACATAATAATCAGTCTTATCTTATATGTTTCAAGTTTGACACCATTTGGAAATTGGAGACAATAATATATGAAAAAGTCCTTAAACCTCAGCCCACCTCATTCCCCCACAAGGCTTAAACTCGCCCGTGAGGAGACCACATGACATGTCTTTTGGAACCCGTGAATGACGGGGAATGCGACAGAACCATCGTTTTCTGTAACTTCAACATGCATTCTCTTTCGTTACAATTTCGAACACAACACATTCATAGATAAATATTTATATTCTATTATATAAAATGAAAACTTCTATTTTCATTCTATGAATATTAAGAATGATTGTGTTATTATATTATTGTTTTTTATATCAACTTGATCAATTTGTGAATTGACACGAACACGACTGAATTGCCACTGATTTTTCACTGTCTAAAAGAAAAACATTTTTATCACAAGATAGCAGTGGGGACGGAGAGGCTTGTGGTTGTCATAGATATACCTGGGACCTTCAATAACCGCCTTACATTGTCAAAAATTGTAGGACGGACAAAGAACGAAACGGTGAAAGTTTGGGGGTTTGTTAGCAGCTCAATGCAAAACTCTGCGAGACAATTTGTCAATTCCAATGCAGGGTCCATTTAACAGTACTATTGTGGAGTTTGTGCCTGAAATTCTTGCATGTCACAACGTATATCATTTACGTTTCGAGTGTGACACGTACAACTGTAGTTAGCACGTAATGAGTAATATATTTCAAAACGAGGATATATTTCCGGTGACACCGATGTTTTTCACCAAACTTCCAAGCAGTTATTGGAAAGTGAGAATCGTGGAAGTAGCCCTAGGTTTCCTCACAAAGCAGGAAACTGGATTAAGGACAAAATAAACAGACTGTGGGAAGGAAAAGAATGCGTTGATGCAAGAGGAATCTGGATGCAACACCAACACATGAGTGCACAGAGAAACCCTAATTTCGATGTTATACACATCATCAGGTTAGTCGAAGTTTCTGCCTTTTTGCTATTGCTTTATCAATTGCTGGTGACAATTTAAATCAAATTCAAATAATGATGCTAATGATTCAGTTTTTCTTATCGTTAAAGATGAATCCCAAAAAACAAAATAGTAATACACAGATGTACAAGCCAAGAGAAGAAAGAAAAGATGACAAACATGACTTCTAAAAAATTGTCATGATAAGATCTTATGCCCTGCTCAAATACCATATTCTGACACCATGGAAAGTTGCCTTTTTTTTTTTTGGTGAGCTACAGTTTTTTTTCACATGTATTAATGATGTTACGTGAGACAACCGTCAATATATCTCTTTGTATCTACAACTCTTATCAAGTCTAAGAATTAGAATTAAGATATTTCTAGTTACTTATAGATCTTTCGACCACATCATATATATCGGAATGCTTCGAGCCAATACAGTAGATGCTAATCATTTGTGTGTAAGTGATAGATACAAAGAGAGACATCCTCTACTACACGGATTATATATAATCTCACAAGAATGTCATATATACCGACTTATCTACCTGTTTCTAACCAATATAGTAGGCGCCCATGCATCATTTGTTTCTGTGTGAAGATAAAACATGAATGAATACATGCAGCAACCTGCAGTTGTTGTTGTTGTTGATAGTGTACAGCTTTAGACTCATGAAATTTGTGGCCACTCCACTTATCTCGTGAACCAACGGGGACCCAACTATTCTGTTTGGCATTCGTACACCACAAAGAAACAACCTCAATAAATATAAAATAAACAAAACACCAGCAAAACAAAAATTAGGGGCATCTATACTATCTACTTCCCCACCATCACAATTATTACCTTTTTTTCTTGTATGGTTCGGTGGCAGGAAACGAAACCTAGCTACATTTACTTCTTCTAGTTTGCAGTTGACTGTTTTTCCATGAGTGAAATAATGAAGCTCGATGGAACCCGGGCTATAAAATTCGAAAATAGTCGTTTCTTTTTTATCTTCCAATCACAGTTAATTTGATGAGTTAATTTTGCGTACATGTTGTGAATTGTAATAAAGAGCCGAGCATATTCCTTTTTATGCCTAATAAAGTGTATAATCCTACAGAATATTTAGGGAGACTTTGGATGCGGTCCTTAGTCATGAATATTCTTTGATTGAAACCTTGTTAGTTTTAAATTTTTGATTGAGATCCCTGAAATTAATGTGATAATTTATTTCTATGTACGTTACTATTTTTTTTTAAATTAAAAATTAGAAATTTTAGTTGTTTATATAAATGAGATTTTAAATAAAAAACCATAATTTGTGGGATTAAAAATATTAAAATATAATCTAATATTTTGTGTGTGTGTGTGTGTGTGTAAACATGGGTACATTCATCAAAATTAACCAAAAAATTCAAGACATGGGTACATTCTTCAAAATTACAAAAAAAAAGAAAGATATTAGGCTTAATAACATTAGTAAATTTCTTTGGTTAAACTTAACATAGATACATTTTAAAATCAAAGAAAAAAATTGAATAGATTTTATATTAAAAAAATGGTAGATTTTTCATATAACAAATTTGTATATTTAAGAATGAGTACATTTTAAGATTAAAAAGTTTTACATGAATGGGTACATATAATTAGCATGGGTACATTTAGCAAAATAAAAAGTACAAATAAAAAAAAATATGGGTACAAATACAAATAAACTTTAAAAAATATGGGCACAAAAAGAAATTAATATATGGGTATAAATTAAAAAAAATTACAAATTAAATATGGATAAAACTAAAACTAAAAATATATGATAAAAATTTAGTCATATAAATATACTAATTGTAACATTTTTAACATTAAATGAATATATTTAGAAATAAAAAATATTTTATTATTGAAATAATTAATAATTTAATAATACCAAGGATCTTGATCAAAAATTGAAAATGAATAGGATTTTAATCAATGGAGGAGTAAAATGAAGGATGAGAACCTAATTTTTCCGAATATTTATATTAGTTATAAGCTCTCAGCGATTGATATAAAAGGCAGCCTATATCAACTTATTTTTAGAGTCGAGAATATCAGAACTTCACAGAGGGGGGATAGATAGGCTCTAAAACCATGTATTGGTTTCTTACAGTTATCTTTCTGGTAGCTATTCTCACATTTAATACTCCTTCAGAGGCTAGCCATGAGAAGAACCATCCTTCTGCAGTTGTTGTAGGCACTGTCTACTGTGACACATGTTTCCAAGGGATTTCTCACATACCAGCCATTTCATTTCAGGTAAAATTCATCTCAAATTTTCAAGTTTCAACAAGTTCATAATCAAATTTCTTTTTGTATTGTAGTCCGGCCCTTCTCTCCTCGTGCATACTCTCATTTTTATTTTTGATCTTTAAATTTAAATAAATCAAAGAAAAATCAAAAGAAAATAATAAACAAAGGTGTACAAAAGGAGAAATGTAAAATCTGGTAAATTGACTGAGAAATAGAATTGGCCAGAATAATTTCATTACTTCTGATTGTAAAACCTTTATACAGATATTTCCTATGAGTCAACTATACAACTAGGAAAAGTAAATCAATTACAACAAAACTCTCCTTGGCGGTAGGATTCTGCTTTCAATCACAATTTCTTTCCAACATTTATTATTTCTCTTAAAAAAAAATGGAGGATATTTCATTAATTTGTATATGTCGATATCATTGTCGTCCAGTAAATATGTCATCAATAACGTGGCGATTTCATTGTGAGTCCAACAGAACGTACAAACATGTTATGGATGCATTTTCGAAAATATCAATAACCTTATGGGGTTCTTGTGCAGGGGCTTCTGTTGGTGTGGAATGCAAAGATGGGAGTTCAACAGAACAAAGTTTCAAGGCACAAGTGAAAACAAATAGCCATGGACAATTCAAAGTCCTTCTGCCATTCTCGGTGAGCGAACATGTCAAGAAAATTGAAGGATGCTCAGTGAAAATAATCAGCAGCAGTGAACCCTACTGTGCTGTGGCCTCATCAGCCACCTCCTCTTCCTTACACCTCAAGGCAAGAAAGCAAGGGACTCACATATTCTCTGCTGGTTTCTTCACCTTCAAGCCTCTCAAACAACCCACCTTATGCAACCAGAAACCCAGCATTCAGAATTCCAAGAAATTAAATTCGCAGAAGTTCTCATTCCCTCGTACTGATGAGCTGGAATTCCCATCACCCTCTCAAGTGGACCCCACAATTCCTGATCTACCTCCCGTCCCTAAGATCCCTTATCTTCCACCGCTGCCACAACTCCCTCCTCTCCCTCCCATCCCAATTGGTGTCCCAGGACTCCCAGGACTTCCTGGAATTCCAGGTTCGCCCCCTGTTGCTGTAAAAACTTCATCTGTGTCCTCCAACTCCAAAACTTCAAAGAATGAGCAACTAGGTGATAATAAAGAAGTAGCGCATCCAGATACTATATTTCCACCTTTATTTCCACCAATTATCCCTAATCCATTTCAGCCCCCTCCACTTATCCCTAATCCACTTCAGCCCCCTCCACTTATCCCTAATCCATTTCAGCCCCCACCAGCTCCATTAATCCCTAATTTGCCCCCTCTTCCTGGTTCTCCACCAGCAGGTCCAGCACCATTGATTCCCAACCTGCCAATTCCCAACCTGCCACCTATATCTGGTTTGACTCCATCGCCGTCACCACCACCACCAATCATCCCACTCCTCCCTCCACTCCCCTTCCCACTGCCACCTGTGCCTCGGATCCCCGGAATTCCCCCAGCAGCTTCTTCAAAACAAAGTACTTCACCTTGATTTAAAGTAATTAATATATTTAACTATGAAACATGTATAATTATTTTTCCAAATAATGTGTTTTACATGTTGGTTTAAGGTTTTTATTATGTAAAAAATACTGTATGGTTGGTTGTGCAATTATCAGAAGGATATACGCTTTATATTAGTAGGGTTTGTATCATTGTACGTTTGTGCTTTTGTAAGGAGCATGTGGTGGACACAAAATTGTTGTACTTGGAATAAGGCTATGGGTTCCCTTCATCTGACAGACTTTTATTTACTTTGAAAAGAATCCCTATTTATAATGTGATTTTGCTCTACCATTTTTATGATATTATTTGACTCCTTATATGTAACAAGAATTTAACTGAAAATCATAGCTCCATACATACACAAAAATATCACAAATTTTGAGAGAAAAAAATATATTAAATTTTGAATTGTATGCATTTCAACTACTCTCCAAATGAAGAATAAAAATCGATCCATTTGAGGTTGCCTGAGCTTCTTAAAAAAACCTAAGGATAAGGAAAACAAATGAAAGAAAGCTTTCAGCAAGCAAGAGTAGGGTGCATAACTGCATACACATAGCAGTCGTTTCATTCATAAAATAAAAAAAGCTTAAGGTATTGCCTGTGAAGTGATAAATTCGTATAGTTCATAGAAAAATATGAGTACAACGATACAATACGATTTGATTATTCTAAACACCCATTTTTACCTCCCACACACTTCTTGTTGATTTTTGTCTCTGGATATTCTTCAATTCATTTGATCTGACTGTCAAAAATTAAGAGGGTATGTGAAAAGTACAGGGATTTGTAGATAGCATCACCCATTAGTTAATAACATATGATTAATTTGTGAAAAATGTTATTTTTACCAAATATTTATACAATTATTTGTATCATCTCTCTTATAGAGATGAATCCACATGTATTGACAAGTTATACTTCTATTAAAGAGATGTTAAGGTAGCACAGAAATTCAAAATTTCAAGAAAAGGGAGAATCATGGATTTAGAGATTGAAAATATTATTATATCAATTATTATTGAATATTATATGGGTCCCCCTAGAGAAAACTAAAGCGCGTCAGTCATGTTTTTCTATATGGGCCCATTAGAGGGAATCTGCAGATTCGATGTCCCCTTTTACATGTGTCCCTTTGTGTCTAATTTGCTAATATTTTGACACATATCCACTAACTCATCTGAGAAATAACACCGTTAAGTTTTCATTTGACATTTAAAAATTAAAAACAAAATCAAACACAGGAGGAATCCTTCTGCAAATTTTCGAGTTCCTTCAGATCAAAATCCATAGATCAACACCCACATATCAAAATCCCTAACCAAAACCCATGCGACACAATGAAGACGGCGATATGCCGAGTTACTGAGAGAGAAAACGAAGATACGCTTGGATGCCATATGCGAAATTCATATTTTTCTTCTCAAACCCTGATAGGGCGAGTTAATGAGAGTGAAAACGAAGATGGCGACAAATCGAATTCGATTGAAGCGGAAATGGAAAGAAAGAGGAAGGGAAATGCAATTGATTTTTGATGGGGGAGATATGGGTTGATTGAGAGTGCAGAAGGTGTTTGATAATATGACTGAGAGAGACTTGGTCTTAGAATTCTATGATCTGGTGTCACTCTCAAAAGGGTCTTCACCATGAGTCATTGAAGATGTATAATGGGTCTTGATGGGTTTACAATTTGTTAGGTTGCTTTCACCTTGTGCTCAATTGGGAGCATTGCATATTAAATAAAAAATAAATAAATAACTTAACAGAGTTATTTCTTAGTTAAGTTAAAGAATATGTGTCGAAATATTAGTAAACGAGACACAAATGAGACATGTAAAACAAGACAGCAGATCTGCAGCCGTTAAAAGACCAATGAAATGAACCATTTTAGCAAATTAAAAGAAGGCAAATATCTGTACGTAACGACGACGTCAGAATTAGGTCATCTTCTTTGGGCTCGTAGCGAGTTAACTCGCTGCTTTTGGAAGTCACAGTCATAGACATAGAGGTTGATGTCGAGCACGACGAGCCGTATCACATACCTTTCTGTTTCATTCGAGTTCGATCGACTTCAACTCCTATTTCGACCAAGTAGGTGATAAAAGCTTAGGGTTTAGTGTTTAGGGTTTCGGAGAATGATTTTGTAACTAGGGTTTAGGGTTTTGGATTGCTTGCACAAAATCATTCTCCACTATGGTGAGAAAAATCACCATAATCTGAGCCACCTTCTTTGATTTTAACTTAAGCAGTACATTTTATTCTTATATTTTCGCAAATATATGTTTGGATGAAGAAATTTAAGATTACTAAGGAATTTTAAAATGACGGAATTTTATTTTGCAGAATTTGTGAATTTTCTTGTTTGGTTAACCTAAAAGAACAATGAAATTGAGAATGGAATTTGTTAATTTTAAACTCTCAATTATAGAAATAGAGAAATGACACCTATTTACATGGAATTTAAACTTGGGAATTTGAGGCCTCAAATTCCAAGTTTTTTTTTTCATGCAGAAATTCTAAATTTTTATGTTTATAAATCCAAACAAGGGAATCGGTGCATGTCAATTTATAAATTCTGACTTTTTTCATGCGGAAATTCTAAATTTCTATGTTTAACATTAAGTTTTAATTCTTGTATGAATTTTTTGTCGTTGGTTTGGTTTTATGATGAAAATTAGCGTGCTCAGACACACTTGTTAGTCCAACTTCAAGCAAATTTGTAGTCTGCAAGTCAGTTCTCTCTATCTGGAACCTTCCTTGCAAAGGAAGGAAATCTTAACGGATTCTTGCAACCCTTCCCTAAAAGCTACGAATAAACTCCTTAACGACGACGGTCCAACATTGAGACGCCGTCACCTATGACCCTCAAGTCTTTGCACAACACGACGCCAAAAGACTCCGCATTACCTTAGCGGCCCTAGGGTTTTGTTTCGTGCAGACATAGCCATAGACCTTCTAACGAAATCAGGTATATCAAACTATGTGGATTTCACAAGCATTGAAGTAAACTCCATTTTTGACGATGATGTCGGGGAGTTGTGGAATTTTCCAGACTCTCGACTAGCAATATTTAAAGTCAGGAGGCTAACCCTTATGGAGAAGAATAAGTTGATGAGGTTCTTCAAGCTTGTTTGGCAACACTTAGAAGCCCCTGATCGGTGGTGATGGTGACCAGGGGAGTGAAGAAAATAGTCGAAGTTCAAAAATTTTAGATGAGGATTTGCAGAGTCCTTTTGTTGACTTCCAAAACAGAATGCAATTGCCACACAAGATCAAATCGTAAGAATCGCATGACAACTATTTTATTTTCGGTTTTGCTGCTTTTTTCCATCACAAGCTTTATATATGTTCCTAATTGCCTTGGTACGATTGCTCTTAATTTTTTGGACACTTTTGTTTTTACAACAAATTCGGAGAGGGGATTCAAACTTGGGTGTATATGGTGTTAAACTATTAGCTTTTGATTGGTTATATTGATTGATTCATGGAATGAAAATGAAAGAACAAAATCTGAAAAACTGGGGATGTCCAACCAGTCGGTGAACTGGTCTGATAGAGGAAGAGCGAGCAAAGCAAAGTGCATGCTCTGCTTTTGGTTGGGTGAATTGCTCGGGATTTTTCTTTTTCTTTTTTTCTCTCAAAGTCGGCTGGTGCTTTATTTTACTGGGCTATCACACTCACCGATTCTCATTTATTTAGAGGTTTATACACATATATTAATTTGTTACAATAATTAAGACACTAACTCTAACAGATGGAATTACACTGCTTTAACCTACTTCGCTAAATCCAGGTTTGCAGACACGAAATCTAGGAAACTTCACACACCAGTGGTTGAATCAGTATAGAATACCTCTTAACACTCCATCTGCTTGTGGGCAACAAAAAGCACTCTTTGCTGCTGGTCACTTCATTTTTGTCTTCCTTTCTTTAGATAGGACGTCATTATAATAGCTTTCACTTCTTTGTACTTATGAAATTTATGGGTAGCCTACATTAGCATTCACTGAATGCCGTTGCCAAGATTAATTATACGATATAGTTTTTCCTAGGTCCCAAAAACAATATATCTTCAGTATGCTGAGAACTTATGTCATCTTCTCGCGTAGAATTATTTTATAGGGAACTTTAACGAAAAGCACTCGGTACTGTTCACTTTAACGAAAAACCACATTTTTACACTAAAAAGTCAATCATGGTACTATTCACTTTACCCTTTATTTTGTCCTTATCATTAAAACTCAAAGTTTTCAAGCCCTTTTCATTAGTTTTCCTTATTTTATATGCCATTGCCATGGTAGACTGTGATCAAGACAATTTGGAAGCATGTAAAAGTATACTTATGAAGAGAGATGGGATTGAGCGTTTAGCACTCTAACACAAATCGACGGTTAGTTTTGTTTGGCTCCTTTCTACCGTTTAGCACTTTCGGCCAATTTCTGTTTTTCTTTTTTTAATGTAAACTGTTTCATACGTGTACTGATGATTCCAATACGAAACTTATCTCAATATAATAAGTTCTTTGTGTTTCTTGTTCTTAATTCATATGCTACCTATTTCATTTTTACCAAACGTGAGAGTAAGTCTGAAAGATGATAAACGAAACGTGGCTATGTATTCCCGCCATGGCTCTACCTTTAATTACCATTTTTTTTTTAAATGCAATTTCTAAGTTGGCAGCTATATGAATTTGTAAAAAATAAAGATAAACAAACAAATAAACATGACATTCTCATCGTTAACTACAAATCACCGTCTCATGCATAACAAAAGTATATAAATGTTGAACTGTTTGCATTTTAAGTACTACATCGCTTCCCAAATAAAGAGTACAACTGACCAAAATAGAAAGACCTTATAGGGCATGCCCATATTTGGGCACACCAACAAAATATAAATATGCCGGCAGATCATCTATCACCACATAATTACCGACTTGTCTTTGCTTTCTTGTTCGAAATGTCCCTGCTTCTACCGCCACCGTTTGAAGACCCAATTCCAACTCTTACTCCACCATTGCTTGCACCTTCGAGCTGCTGTTGTTGCTGCCAATAGTCCCTGTAGAAATGGGGTGCCCTTTGGCCGCTCACGGCAGAGGCCGGTTGGACTCCTCGGTTGTTAAGTCTGTACTTCTGCAAAACCCACAAAGAGGATATATATTTTCCATCAGATTCAGCACCACGTCAAGGAGATCAAAGTAGCAATACTCATAAAATTAGGAGAAATTTTTATGAGCGACGTAATGTTACTAATCCACCTGATATAATATAGGTAGACGACAAACTTCATGTGATTTGGGGACCATAGGCGTAATGGCCTAGTTTGGTTTTGTTTGCACTGGCATTGTTTCATCCGGCAAGTTAAAGCTTTATTTGGGTCTCTTTTGTAATAACTCAAAGGTATTGGGTGCTGCTGCAAATATATTTGACGTCATATCATATACGTGTAACGTACGTACAACCATAACCAATATGGATTTTTTTGTAGTTCTAACGAGTTTCTTGAGCTTATACACTTACATAAATGATGGAGAATTAGTCCCACGTAACAAAATATACCATTTATTTATGGAAGATTTCATTCATAATATCACCGAAACTTTTAATAATAAATGGTTGAGTTGAAAGCAATATTAATGATGTTAATAGCGGGTCATATTAAACCTAAAAGTTTATTAATAAATTACACCAATTAAGCTTCGCTTCAATTCGTTATTCCTATCACGTATATAGCACTTCGAACAAATTATCACATACCATTTTATGGCTTGTATTTCTATGCAATATATAGGAATAAGTTTATTAATAAATTGCACTAAAATTACTAAGAAAATGAGTTAAGGAGAATGACAATTGGAATCCAACACTCTGGTGGTTAAGAACTACCGCTTATCTTACATTCGAAGTCTTCTGTTCGAAGCTCCATCTCCTAAATACGGCTTGCATTAAAACAAAAACAAGAGTATATATGTATTCAAGGTTTCAAACCAACCTGCAGATGACTCTTGACTTGGTCGTGGGTTAGCCCATCGACCTGCATGACAGCTTGTATCTGCTTTGGAGTAGCCTCTGCTCAACAAGAAGCACATAACAAACTAAATATTAGCATCAAGCCAAAAACCTGCAGTCCTAGATATCATATCCCACCATAAAAATGACTCAACTAATTCTATGAATATATCGTCAGAACTCATTTGCCTCACCTTGAGGACCTCCAAGTAAACTCATGGCCTTCAGAAACCTTGCGTGGAGCTCCGGCGACCAGCTCCTCCTTTTGTTCTTCAAGTTTGGCAGCGGTAGTGGCTGTGGAAGCTGTGGCTGTGGCTGGGACTCCGGTTGTGCCTGTGGTTTTGACTCTAGCTCAAAATCGTCGGCCGCCATGTTCAAATCGCATGGGAACGGCGTAGGGCTTGTCGGCTCTTTGTTCACCATCATTCCCATCCGACTAGATGATTGGGAACATTGGGAAGTCATCACCTTTTACAAAACAATTAAAATGAGTTAAATTGTTAGATACATTGTAATCTATCAAAAAGCACACGACCAGATAAAAATGAAGTTATTGATGAACTTTTGCATATCTATATCACCTTGTTTACCTGCTTGTGATCAGTAGTATCGATGCCATATGGCTTAGGGTTGAACGGAGGAGACGAGCTCTTGTATTTTCTGAACGCACTACGTCGTTCAGATTGATGATCGGAGAGTTCTGAAATCTCATTCTTGAGGACTTGCACAGCTATATGATCACAACAACAACAAAAATCAATAAAGAAAAATCAAGTAAACCCGTTAGAGGTAACTTTACTTATGTCAAACCTTTCAACTAATTCCTTAAAGAGAAATAGGGAAAAAATGAAATAAGGGCCGGCTGCATGTGTAAAATTCAGTACAAATTACAAGTAACACTCTCACAGTATGATACACTGAGGCAAAAACAAATAAACAAATAAATCAAAATAAATCTATGAGAGGTAACTTTACATGTAAAAAACCGTTCAACTATTTAATTAAAACAGAAATAGGGAAAATAAAATAAAGTAAGGGTCAGTTGGGTGTGTAAATTTAAGGAAAACCAGATAACGCGCGCGCTCACAGTCCGGTAACAGGAGCACACAATGAAGCAAAAAAAAATCAAAAATAAAAAAATCATAACAAAATAACCACAGGAGAGGTAACTTCACATAGATCAAACCATTTAACTATTTTTCTTAAAGAGAAAAAGGGTAAAAGTTAAAAGAATGGTCCGGTCGGATGTGGAATAAACAGTTAACAAGCTCACAAACCGAGATCAGAAGCAGCCGATGAGGCAAAGAAAATCTATCAAATAAACCCATAAGAGGTAATCAATTTAACATATATCATACCGTTCAACTACATTCTTAAAGATAAATAGGAAAAAAAATAAATTAGGGCCGCCCGGATGTGTAAATTTGGAAACAATAACGCGCTCACCGTCCGACAAGAGAAGCACAGAGTGAGGCATCTCAGTTCTAAACGCTTCTAATTTACGAAGCTCTTCTTGATGTTTTTGAAGATGCTCATTTAAAACAGACAATTTTTGTGAAACATTTTCAATGTTTGCCAACTTAAGACTCAATGTAAGCTCAAGACGATTTGAAGAAGCCATTTTTTTTACTCTATCTTTTAGAGGCCGATCTTGCTACCTAGGTATGTCTCTCTCTCACAAATATTGGTTGGTGGTGGGAGACTAGAGGACAGAGAGAGTTGGTATATATAAAGAGAGTGAGAGTATAGGAAGGAGTGAAAAGTAAAGAAGAGATCCACAGAATTCAATTGATGCCATTTGCTTTAACAAAAAGTGCATTCGGAAATCCCAACGAGAGAATAGGTTTACTTAAATTACAGATTCTCCCATACACTCTTTTAGATTTTGAAAACTAAATTCTGTCTTGTAGAATTAAAAATAAATTATAAGTACATACTAGAAAGGAAAAAAAGTAGGATTTATAAATTCCAAACCAATTAATTGATAAATTCCAAACAATTAATCTGTTTGTTTGTGTATGGAATGAGGAAGTGACTTGGTAAAAATTCTAATTTAGAAACGGTTGCCAACTTACACCATATATACATTTTTCTCCAAAAGAATATTCATGTCCATATATAAAAAAAATATTTTCCTAATCACATGGTATTTCCCAAAATAGGATCAAGTTGGTGTAAAAAATTTGAAAATAGTGTCATTAGTATTGAAACATTAAAATAGTATTTGAACTATTCACCATTGCTATGACGTCCTGACTTCGATTCTCGATCCCTAGTATAGGATGCACAAAACAATGGATGCATAATGAATGAATATGAAGGAAAGCACTTTTTTCTTTCCACAACAATATTCATACACGTTGAGTATCTCTTAGAATGCATTGCTATGCGTGAGTTGTCATCCTTATCCAACTTGCACTTTCTTAAGAAGACTCTTTAATGAAAAGGAGGGAAACTTCACATGATGCCAAACAAGAGCAACTCTCATACTAGGTAAGATCAATGTGCGGTTGGGTGGAATTAAAATATAATGGGTTTTACTTTGTTTGTGAGAGTTGTTCTATGGATGGTGTGGTTTGAGTGCCCTTACATAAGTTTTTCTCTTATATAAACTAACTTATTTTCTCCTTTGTACTTTTCTTCTTTTCTCTCCTTAGTTTTCCTTTCATTTATTCAATTCAAAAGTTTTATTTTTTGACAAATGATAGTATCTACACTAAATAGTGGAGAGTGGATTAAGCCTTATAATGGGTTTGCCATAATAATGGCGAGAATCAAACCTACGACTTCTCACTTACAAGTGAAGATGAATCTCACTAGATCGTAGTACCAAGTGACAATTCAAAAGTTAGAAACAAAAATTTGTGAAGAGTGTATAGACAAAAAAGGGGAGTGCAAGATCACTACCTTATCATAAGTGTATTTTGTTAGCCTGAAAAACTTAGTGAAAAGAGTAATGTTACACTTATCACGTTTTATATGGGACATTTGTGTAACGGAGTGAGGTCCACCAATACAAACATGTGATAAAAATAATGTTTTTATAATAAAAAGTACTAATCAAAATCAACATGAATATATTCAATAATCTTTTTTTTTTACTTTCTGTCAATATGATTTAGGGAAATTCGAAACTATAAGAAAAGAAATGGCATTGAATCAAAGCGCTAATTTACTAATACATATCCAGCAATTAATATGAGAACCAAAATCCACAGTTCTGAATAACTGTTATAAATATGTACAAAACTCTATAAAGATTGAAACCAAAACAATAATGGATACTGTGTGAGCTTATAAATAAGCCGAATTTTAAAATAATGCATTATTAGATAAATTAAGCGTGACTCTAGGCCTACGGGGCGTCCGTTGTAGATAGACAATGAATAACAAATGGGAAAGAGATCCTCTCCGGATCTATGCATCCGGAGTTCAGGGATCAAATGATCTAGGCCTTTAAAATTTGATTATCCAACAAAAAATTATTGTAGTTTTTATAAGTTTTTACTAATTTCTCTGCTTTTAACCATTATATCAAATTTTAAAGGTTCAGATCATTTGATCCCTAGGCTCCATATGTATAAATCCGGAGAGGACCCTTTCCTAACAAATGATATGTTGAATTCTAGGTAATTGGTTATTCTTCTGTCAAATTACAAATTCCACCTTCATTATATTATGGTAGTGTTATACAATACTTGCATACATATAAACAAAAACTATTCAACAATTAAATAATACTTCTTAAAATATACATAACAAACTTCAAAAACAAGATTAGCTTTGTATTATGGGCTACAACTTATTTCATATGCTTTGCTCTCTTCCTTCATTTATATACTCTCTTTTTAAGACGATAATCATTATATTGCACACGCAAAGTGCACCATTCACAAAGTTTAAAGAAAATTAAGAAGTATCAACAACTTTTAGCACAGTGCTACTTTCTTTATGTGTGAAATTCCAATTCCCTACTCAAGGATAAAGAAAATAAATGCCTCTGTGACGAATTTCAAGCTCATATTTTACACGGTAAGTTATGGATTCGATTCTTAACTCTAATAAACCACACAATGGTGATCAAGGAAAAGTTCAAATGCCTCTGTGAGTCTTCTTAACCTAAAAAAAAGTGAATTAGCGTGGCGAAGTCACCAACCGATGTTTTTTTTGAAAAAGAGAAATAAGATCACTTTTGCTTGGGAATAAAGCAAAGCTTTTGTTCTTTTGTCGTTGTTTGTTCTAAATAGTAAAAAGCAAGTTAATTTGCTATTCATACTATGTTTTTATACCATATTTTTATACTATATCAGGTGACATTTAATGTGAACAGGCATATCATTTGAATTAATTAGATTTTTAAATTTAGTTTTTTATTTAATAAACTAATAATTAAGAAAAACTAATTAATTAAATGATGATTGTGGTATACGAATACGAGGAGTTTTTCTTCTTCATTTCTTTGAGTTTTGCAAATTTTTTAAATGATGTGGCTATCCACGTCAGATGCTATTGGTATAGAAATGTAGTATAAAAATATGGTATGAATAAAGTTTTTTACTAATTCGTCACTAGATTCCTCTACACCGCCTTATAAACATAATTATCTTTTCCCTAAACCCATTTCATTTTCCTTACCTCTCTCAACTTCCGACCCCAAGCACTCATCCTCCTCCTCCTCCTCCTCCTTCCTCTCTCTCTCCGATGCACTGAACCTCGCACTCGATCGTCTCGCTCGCCATGGCCGAGACATTCGCCAGACTCGCCGAGTCTATCTACTACGACGGCAAGCCCATCTCGTCCACTGATCTTCTGCAGAGGCTGCGCTCCTCCCCCGACTCGATCAGACCGGGACTCGAGAACCTTCTCCCGATTCTAAAACGTGGCGTTGAGGCCGCCGGAGACGGCAAGCTAGGGCTCCAATCATGGACCGATTCTCAAATTCAAGCCGTGTATTCGATTTCCTACGCCGTCGCTTCCTCCTCTCGATCTCTGTCCGGTACATGAGCTTCCTTTCATCTTCTTCTACGTGAAATTAGTTGCCTTTTGTTTGTTTTTTGAATATTGATGCTTTCTTGTTAATATAGAAGTAGACGATATCGAATTTAAGTACTTAATTCTAAGTTGCAGCTAATTTTATATGTATTTGTAGTTTTTATTGCTTCTAAATCTTAAAGATTGCAATTTTGAAGCGTTAATGGAGTGTTCAGGTAATAAATGTCCTTAATTTGGTTGTGATTGCGTGTACAGTGGAGCAAGCGGATGTGGTAATTGTTGCTATTGTGCAACAGTCGTTGGAATTTGCTGTATGTTATTTGGAAAGATCAGAATTTAGCAGCGAAGATATGAGCATTCAGGTTAGTTAGTTCTACTTTCCATATCAAGTTCGGATGACTCGTTTAGTTTTGAATGTTATTATTTTTGCGCACCTGCGTTAATCATTTGAAAGGCGACTGTTTTGTATATTTGTTTACGGTTATTGTTTTGAGGACCTATGAATTAGTTATGCACATTTTGCTATTATTCTCTAATAACAGTTTGTATGATTGTCGGTGATGGAAAACACTCTACTTGGTTTTCGTAGTTGTTAAATGAACTCTGACGGTGGGGATCAACCTTTTTAATAGCGCAGTATAATTATTGAATTCATTGTGTCTTTTCTGATTGGTTGGTGCATTTTATGAGTGTTGAGCTCCATGTTTTTTCTTTTAGGCACAGTACTAGTAATTGGACATTGCTTTTACTATCAACTGGAATTTGCAAGTAATTTCAGATGTGTATGCTGTTTTTTTATTTTATGCAAAGTTGCAAACAAATAAATGTATTACAGCGACGACACAATGAAAGACGGACAATATATATATATATATATATATATATATATATATATATATATATATATATATATATATATATATAACTGCTTCTTGCGTGGGCACTCTGCCTCATTTTAAAAAATTGTAAGATAAATTTTTTGGGTCCTTTTTCCATAAATATTAAGTATTCAAGTCAGGCACCTCCTTTACCCCTTGACACAGTCTATTCTAATTATCTTTCAACCACTCCAGTGTCTAGGCACTCTGCGGCTCTAATATTGTGCGCTTTTGCTGTCATGTGCTTAGAGGCCTACAACTATCATGTCTAATAGATGAAAATCAATAACATTAACACTGACTGTGTCTTGTATGAACGGAGGAGAGAGAGGGAGTGACTTTTTTATTTTTTTTCTGGGTCCTCTATCCTGATCCTTGTGAATTTATGTATGAGTTACATTTTTGTTGTGTTGGTTTCTGTGTTTTCCACAAGTGTGGTCCTCAAGGTATTAGTGTTTATGCACTTTTGGGGAGGGAATGAATAATGGCTCAAATTTTTGTTTATAATTCAACCTGTAAGATCCCACATCGCCCAAGGGAGAGGAGGTGATGTGCCTTATATGTACATGCTCTCCTCCCTATAGTAAGACGCATTTTGGGTGGAAGCCCAAGAACAAATCCGTGAGGGCGTGGCCCAAAGCGGACAATATCTTACTATGCGGACTGGGATGTGACAATTTGGTATCAGAGCCACTCCCCGGCCAGAAGTGTGCCGACGAGGACGTCGGGTCCCTAAGGGGGGTGGATTGTA